CATCCATCCATCCATCCATCCATCCATCCATCCATCCATCCATCCATGCATCCATCCATCATCTTTACCCACTTTTTCCTTTTTTGGTCGTGGGGGTTCACAGGTGCCTATACCCAGCAGTCACTGTACAAGAGGCAGGGGCACCTTGGACAGGTCTCCAGTCCATCACAGGGACTAGAGACAAGCGAGACAAACAACCGTTCACTCTCACACCTAGGGACAATTACCAACCAGTCTAACATGCATGTTTTTGGTCTGTGGGAGGGAACCGGAGTATCCAGAGAAAACCCATGGAGAGAACATGCAAACAGAAAAGCTGGGATTTGATCTGCTGAGAGGCTGCAGGTCTACCAACTACCGGCGTGCCGCCCCAAAAAGCTCATACGTCAAAACAGATCAGATCAATCAGCATCTCTCACACCCAAGCACATGGCTGGTCGGAGAGCTATTTATAGTTTAACGATCAAAACCTCAAACGAATTGGAGGATAAGCTACTGCTAATTGATGAGACAACTGACAGGCTCAGAGTGGCCACAGAAAAGGAGGTTGTATTTAAAATGCATTTATTATCAAAAAAGAATAACTGAGATCTCAAATATCTTGTGCTGACCAACCCCTGGTTGCAGGATCTTTGTACTTAAGTCTCTTCCACACATCCTTATGTGGATTTTTACACCATTTCCTCCGTGTTCTGCTGGTGAGGCTGCTGGGAGTCTGCACCCTAGCCAATCACAGTGACCTCAGGTGGAACTTGTTACCATGGTTACATGCTCCGAGCATTGCCGGAGGTTAGCTGAGTCGCAAAACAAAAGCATAAATCATACCTTTCCTCAGAGAGGTGTCACAAATCTGAGCGGGGACTCCATTTGATCATCTTGTCATCTCTTTTTTTTTGTGTGCTTGTAATCACTACAAAGGGTGCCAGCTGCTAATCAGATGCATTAAATAAGTCTCAACAAAAAAAGAATTGTCAGACTGGACTTTTAAAATAAAGTTGAAGTCAGTGCAATTAATTTAAGCTAGTGGAGGCCTCCAGGTTCTCGCCAGCTCTTTTTTTATTTCAAGCAATGGACCTGGCATGTAATGGTTACTGGCTATCTGATTGAAAAACAAGAGAGAAGGAGCACAAACACTGGATTCTCTGTTTGCTCTGCAATTCCCTCATTCTTTTCCTCCTTTCAACATGGCACCTCTTTACATCTCACCATGGCAACCGCGCTCTGAGTGCGTGTGTGTGAGGTGCATCTCGTGGCTCCTCAGCCACCACCGGCCTTCGTGACTCCAGGCACGTTCGGATGGTTTTTGTACAAGCTCTGAATGAGGTGCCACACATTGGAACGGCGGCAGTGGGAGAGATGTCATCTGGCCAAGTATTCAGATGAGTTTAGCGGTTTGTGCAGAGGAAAGAAGTGGCTTCTAAACATCCAGCCAAGCGTTAGTCATGAAACGTATTATTAAAGCTGTCGAACAACAACATCTGTCCTTTGTTAGACACAGCCAGGTGTTACAACTGTGACTTTTTTTTTATCAACATTTGTGTAAAAGTACTAAAAAAAAAAACACAGAATAGACTTTTTCTGTTAATTAATGAGGCACATGCTTTTTGTTAAGACAAACAGTTTGCATGCAGATCTAGAGTTGGCAGCATGACTTATATCTGTGTCTCAGCAAGAATGGAAATATGGACATTTACCAAAAAATACCTTTCATTGTCACACAGTATTAAATAATTTAGTTGTCAGGATGCAAGCTTAGAAATATTCCTACAACCCTGGGTTTTTATTTTGGCACGTCTGACTCTGGATGTCAAGCATTAGTATACTGACTGCTTGGTTAGTGCCTCCATCCCAGAGTTTATTGTAGAATAAAAAAGAAACCCAAACATTAGAGCTTCTTTCCATCCAATACCAAAATAGACTTTGGGTAAAATCAGACCATTTTGCACGATGCAGATATGTCTAGTCACAAATCTTTGACAAGAGCATATTTATTTGGGCAATAATCATGTCTGCTGCATAAGATGAATTTAGAGCACTCACTTGTTAACCTGTTGCATGTCAGGAGCTTTTTGGAGGGTTCGTTTTATCTTCCTTGTGTCTATGTCTCTATCAACAGACTGCAAAGAGCAGAAGTGCAGGCCACTAACCCATACTGTAGCCCTAAATCCTAATCTAATCCCTGCCAAGTCTCAGTCATTAGAGCATATTGGTCAGTCATTCACTGTGCTTAATCCAGTCTCACCTCATTCTGGCTACACATTCAGTTCTTCTTTTATGTATTTACTGTAGTTTTATTATTATTATTATTATTTGTAATAGTTTTGTTATCAGAACTTGCTGAGCTCACAGTGACATTTTTCAATGAAAACATCAGTCTGTAAAGTACTTGTGCAGAATGCTATAATCTACTAAAATCATTTAACAAAACAGATTTAGCCCGCAGGAACCAATATGTGCACAGAAATGTGCTTATCTTTGCACATCTAAATGTGGAGAAGATACAAGAGAAAATCTCTCACACTGAGAGATTTTTTTGTCTCAGTCACAATTTAGGAAATAATAAATTTAGTCAATCACAGTTCATACTCAATCATCCATGGTATAAATCCAAAATTGGGCAATCAGGTTGTCTGGACAGTTTCTTTTTTGTGGAAAGATATTTCACCCCCTATCCAAAGCGCTTCATCAGTCTGAGGAGTCACAAGAAAACTGTTTTCCCCACTAAGCAGTACACGCCTTTAGTGGACCAACCAGTTTGTCTATCTGGGAGGAGCTGACTGGGGACAGGACAGCCCCCAGAGACCATCTTATAGCCAGAAAATTGGTTGGTCCACTAAAGGAGTGCACGGCTTAGTAGGGAAAACAGGGACTCCTCAGACTGATGAAGCCCTCTGGATAGAGGGTGAAATATCTTTCCACAAAAAAGAAACTGTCCATATGACCTGATTGCCCAATTTTGAATAAATTTAGTCATTCACCGAACTTATGTCATGTACGACAGTCAGCTCAGTCATCTACTTCAGAGTGATGGGAATGATCGTAGCAAAGCTTAAAAACAGCATTGATCATTAGACACCACTTTCTGTGAAATGTATTCACAATTTGAGCTTTTTTATTACTTAAAATACACTGAAAGATTAATTTTAAGCTAAAAGTACAGTACAGGGGCCCGTCCTTTTATCTGGTCACAAAGAATGCAAGACATTCACGTCACTTTGTAATGGACACAACCACACAGTTTCATCACTCTAAGATTGTATGTCTTCAAAATTAGCTTCAGTGTACTGTATTTGCATAAAATGGCATTCATTATTCTGATCAGTTTGGGGGTCTATATGAGGAAATGAACAATTGGGGTATTATAGCTGACTCAGCTTGGGCTTTTTTTTTATTTTTTTTATCAATAATCGGTAAGAAGAATTGGTCTTTGCAAAACCAAACCATTCATTAGCTCCGTAACTGTTTTGTGTCTCGTTGGCAGGGAGGCATTCTCTAGTCAGGCGGCATCATCACCACAACCACTCAACTGTCAACAAAGAGGCCTTGGACACCCGGATGGTTCTTAGTGATGACTCAGCGGAGAGGGAGCACCTGATTGGAGCAGGGGTTGGAGCCAAACATCCACACACCAGACACCATCATTCTCATAAAAGCCACTATCTTGATTTGGTAGAACAGCCTGCGGCGGAGGAGCTAACCGCTGGAGGAGCTGGGCCAGACCAACCTGGGAACCCTTTATCCGATGACATCATCAAGGTGGAGTTTCACAGTCCCGCGCCAGACGTTGTGCCCGCCGACGATGCTTTAGATTGGGCAAAAGTCCCCAAACCTCAAAAGCAGAAAGGCGGAGATCCCACTGCTACATGGACGATGGCAGAGATTTACGACTACCTGTCTCCTGACAACGAATTCTCAGCGGTAGATACAACCCCAGAGCCCGAGCCCACCCCTTCACCCCCAGCTGACATGGAAGATGAGAATCCACTCCTGGCTGGCTCCCCGTCAAAACCCGAAAATGAAAAGCCAAACATGGACAGCGGGTCATCTTTACCAGCTCCTCCCATGCTAGGCGCAGAGAGGGAAGAGGAGTTTGGTTTGGGTGGCGCCGTGGGTGCAGACGGCTGCAGGCTGGGCTTTGTGCTGTCTGGACCTGGAGTTTGTGTTTCAGAGTGTGACAATGAACCCAACTTCTGCTTGAACGGAGGGATGTGCACAGTGGTGGCAGGGGTGGGAGCCTTCTGCAGGTAAGACACTTACTAACTCTTCAGGCCCACTTCAGATCAGACAGATTGCTGATTGTATCTGATTAACAGCTAGCGTATTTGACATTAAACCAGTCGCCCTTTTTAATTTGCCTTCAGGGATCATTTTTTGTCTTTGTTCTCCAACACAAAAGGAAGGATTAAGGACACCACAGGCAAACACACACACACAGGGAACAAAGACAGAAGGCTGTCATGAGAGCTTGTCAAGATCACAGCGGGATCCCCAAAAGATTATGGGTAGTTCAGTTTTAGGGAGGTGGGAGGTAAAGAAATCACGTGACTGTCACCTGCTGCTAGACACCCAGCAGGCACACACAGAAAGACCGAGGAAAAATAACAGTTCTGTACATTTAGACAAAGCAAATGACGCATTAAGACATTTACATTTAAACACACGGTGCTTGTGCTCATGCATGCAGCGTCCCAACAACACAGCTAGAACTGGACTCCTGACTTGCAACCATCTGTCCAATCCTGCAGCTTCTCTAAGCTTGGAGGCAAACTGTTGCTCACGTCAACCTACCTGCTGAGTAACATCACAAACATCTGCACACGCTTTTGTAGAGAGAAAGTATTCACATACCTGAAGCTGTTTGCACATAGAACAGAGAGAAAAGTATTTTTGAACTATAAGGCACACAAAACTAAAACATTTTGACAGATTTTTGAGTGCCATGTACCACATACAATTGGTTCGAGGTCAGTAAGCACAACCAGAATTAATACATATAAGGTGCACAAGATTATAAGGCTCACTGTTGATTTTTGAGAAAATTAAAGGATTTTAAGTGCACCTTATAGTCCGAAAAATGCGGTGCATGTGTCTGATCTCATTAAAAGCTATGGGACACAATGCAATCAGCATCACGTAATATTTCACACACTTTGTTTTCAGTTTTAGCTGTAACTTTGGTAAATGTGCAAAGGGTGCATATGTACAGTAGAGATAAATATTCTACTTTAACGTTTTATAGCAATAAGCCCCCAAAAAACATTTTCCAAGATAAAACCAGTGTGTTGCATTTTCTTCTTATCTTCTCCTGTTTCTCCATCTCTTTACATCCAGGTGTAATGTGCAGGACTACATCTGGAACAAAGGTCTTCGCTGTGAATGGGCCGTCACAGAGTTCCAGGTGTTGTGCGTGGTGGTGGCCGTGGCCTCTTTTGTGTTCCTCCTGCTCTTCATGATCGTCGTGTTCTTTGCCAAGAGCCTGTACCGCCTCAAGAGCGAGAACATACGCCTTCGCAAGCGCAGGTGTGTGCATGACCGGGCCCTTCACATGAAAAACATCACTTTTGTGTGGCTAATTTTTAATGTATTTAAAGATAGGACTGTTTAAAGTTAAAACATAAGCCTCTGCAAGATCTGCATTTGGAGCACGATGACTTTATTTGAGTTGTGATTCATGTGGGAAACAGATATGCTACTGCAAATATTTATATCACACCAGTCTCCCTCTCTGCTTTCCTGCAGTAAGTACCGCCCACAGAGCACCGAGCCACAGACAGACGGGCTCTCGGTTTCAACGACAGCCGACGGCTCGCAACCAAATGTAAGGAAACTGTGCGACACCCCTCCGCCCGCTCCTCAAACTCATACTCACAACCTGGCGTACTATGACAACATTATCTGTCAGGTATGCCCCTGCTCTCCTCCTGTTTGCACGTCTCACTCTAATGTCTGTTTTCTCTTTATGTGCATCTGTTTCTGTTGGATTCCTCCTGGTTTCTCTCCTCATCCTGTTCTATATGTCTCCCTGTCAGCTTGCAAAGTAATTTAATGTAGTTTATATGTATGTTTGTCTGAGCTGAATTCATACAAACCAACTTACAAAAGCACAACAAAATATATTTATACAACTTGAGATGTCCTCTCTGTTTTCTCCTGGTCTTTTCTTTAAACTTGCCCACTAAGTAAATACTTGGTACAAGGTAATATCCTTCAGTTGCTGGGAAAAGCCTTACTTCTAACATGTGCATCCTGCATCTGATCAGTGCGCTCTCCAGGTGAAATGATTGATGAACCCTTGCGAGGCTTCCTGCAGTCGTTTGTTCAGATGCATTGTGTAGATGCAGCAGTATGATTAAACACCAGCTCCATTTCTGATTATCTTACCTGCAGCTCTGCAGCTTCCTAAGGAGCTCAGTGAGGCAGATGGGCTTCCATTTTATTCTTGTGTTCACTTCTCTTGCAACATATTCAGCCATTTTAGGTCCCAGCTGCTCTTCTTCTACAGGTTCTGCATGCAGTGCTGCTCTGAACTGAACTGTACTGTAGCTGCATGCACGTGTGGCTAAATGGCACAGCATTTATTACTGTCAGTGTGGGGGGTGTTAGAAGATTAATATGTACCCCTGTACATCAGCATTATTGATCTTTTGATGTACAAACCAATATATCTATTGTTTAAAGTGTTGGTAAATTCTCATATATAACAATGTATTGTTAAAATACACGGATATAAAGTAAGACTTTAAACTTTTAAAAGCTTATTTTTGTTGTGTGAAAGCTCACTGAGCAAATCATGTCTATCAGTAGCCAGTGTAATTGATCAATGGTGCCCCATTTCCTCCCCGCTGTGCACGACCTTCAGATATCTGTGACACACCAATACCATCTAATGGCTTGACCATCTACACATAAACAAAGGCAACAAACTCAATAATTGGACAATGACACAAACACTGCCTAACATTATATATATATATATATATTATATGGGTAAACAAACTGGCTTTATTTTAACGTAGCTTCTGCTCTCAGAGCTGTGCCAACATTTCCCTGCAGCATTTATAGACGAGTTTCAGGAACTGCCGGATGCTTTAAATGTCAAGTCTAGAGGCTAAAAAGCCACTGCAGGAACGTCTGTGTGCTTTTCTTTTTAAATGTCATAAAATAAATAGGTGTTACCTTTTCAAAAGTAGACTAAAGTTGATTACATCGGGTCAGAATCATCCTATAGAGGGATTGAAAGAAAACACTTTTTATGGGTTGGGTTATCTTTATTTCTTCAGTTTATCATACCATTGTTATACATGTGAGTCTGTAGAAATAAAATCTGAAGGTATTTCTACACAAATCTTAACTTTAGTGGCACAATTGGCTGCAGTGATATTTAATTTGCTCATGCATCAACAGATAAAGCATGTAGTTGGAGGAAACGATTGTTAGTCATCTCTGAGGTATAAAACTCGTGTTATAAACCAACTTGGTCTATACTTTCAGCGATTTTTTCTTATTTTATGTAATAATCATCAGGAAGTAATGATTTAATGGACATCCTCGACATATTATGACAAATCAAGTGATATCACAATATCTCATCAGATTTTGCTTAACGTCACAAGGTTGAGCCAAGTGTCTTTCACTCTGTCCCTTCTCAGCATAAAATGATTTTTGATTAAAATTCTGTCAAGGAACTCTAATCCTTTTATTTTAATTTGAACTATTACTTACATTTCCTTTTTTTTAAAGTAGACATTTGCTTATTTTGTACACTCAAACATCCTTCAGTGTCCTCCACTTGTACAAGCTTCTTCCTTTATTAGTTTGAATAAACACATGGCAAGTGTCTATTTCATTTTATTTGCTGGTTTTTGTGCATGAGTGAAGAGTAACTTACTCTCCCTGCAGAATGATCCCCAGAAGAAGGACAACCAAGACAAGTCCCCTCAACCCAACGAAGAGGGGTCAATGAACATCCTCAACTCCCACTCCCCAAAACAAGAGAACAACCGCCCTGCCTCTGCTGTCCTCGGCCACACCCCCAACAACACAGGGGAGAATGCAGAGGTAAACATGCTTCAGAACAACCTGGTGTAAAATCCCTACATGATAAAATGTGCAGCTGGAGAATCAGACCAATATTTAAGGTGCACAAAAAGCCCCTGTAGGCTAATGTCGTTTACACCGTGCCAAGTGCTTTGTAAAGATTTTCTAACAGTCTAATAAGACCTAGTTTCTAAAATGAGCACAAAAAATATGATAAAGTTCCAACTTGATAAGCACAATAGTTCTGTTTACAAAGCTGCCATGCTCATACTGACCACATAGCGGCAACTCTGCCTCCTTTCCTTCCTCTATCTGCCTTTCACGCTGGACTAAAATCTGTGGCTTGGACCAACTACTGACTGATTGTCCTCTTTTCTGATGCTCTGCCTTGGTCTTTGGCCAATGAACCTCTTCATTGTCTCTTCCCCCGTTTCCCTCCTTTCCCCCCCTCTCTGCTCCCCATCCTGCCTTTCTGTGTCTCTCTGCCCGCATGCATTGATGTTATCAGCAAAAAGTGTCTGAAAATGTCTAATTAAAAAAAAAGTATGTGGAAATAAAGTGAATCTGTATCTGCAAAATATTAATGTTTGACATTGCTAAAAAAAATAAAAGTGGATATGTCTAGATAACATGAGATTAAAGTAATAGCTTGGAGTTGATATTTGAATCTATATATTACACACAATGTGTCTTGGTTTTCAATGTGTTTTACAATACTTTAATGTACTTAATATTCCTTTTTTACTTTTATGGGTATTCATGGAGGTTGACGGTTGTTGGAATAAATCTTTTTCATTTTATAAAGCTCGTCCCTGCGTGTTGCTATGAGCTTCTCTCCCTGTAGAATCTCACTCTTCTTCTGTGGTCCTTTTCTTCTTCTGCATGTCTGCACATAATGAAGCTCACTACTGCTCAGCAGCTCTAATAATAACTGAATGCATGGCTGACCCTGCTTTGTGTGCCACAGGAGGACGCAACTCTGCGCACACGCACACACACACACACACACACACACACACACACACACACACACACACACACACACACACACACAACTGACAATTATCTTAATGCCCAGATGTTTAATTGTGGATTTCTAATTCCCGAAGCTCCGAGCTGCTTCCAGCAGAGACTCAGAGCTGCCAGAGACGGACTGTGTGTCTCTGTGTGTGTGTGTGT